GAAAACGGAGCAACAAAATGGCGGAGCTGAACGATCCAAAATTTGATTTTCTTTTTTCAATTTTATAGGCTTCCCCTTTTTAATCCTTTAACTCCCTTTGGTGATCAGGACAGAATTTCTCCTTAGAATATCAATACAGTAACAAGCAGGCAAGTGCTGAGAATAAAGAAAATATTAATTAGGGCTGATGGAATAACAAATCCTCCAAACTGACATCGTAAGAATTATAGAGAAGACAGTCAGGAGAATAACTAATGAGATGTTGGGAGTGAAAGCGTTACGAAAGCGACTTTTTAACTGCATTAGCATTATTAATTGGTCATGAATAACACTTTACTGATGTCACTTGTGTTGTTTTCGTCTTTTGTGCACGCTGTACGCGATCAATGCGACGCTCGTATTAGGTCTTGAGAAGGGTCACGAAAACTAGGAGCAATTGAGATAATTGAAAATGAAATAATCATTAAAGAAAATAAATCCCTTGTTTAATAACAATAATAATCCTTTATTTGCCATAATCACTAAAAATTTACAAAAATCATGTTAAAAGGCTTAAAATGTCTGATAAAAATCTAAGAAAATCTATTGGATACACGCTTCGGTTAGTAACGATGATGACAACAACAATAATAATCATAATAATTCGGTTCTCTAGGATCAGACTCGTATCAGACCCAAACTAACTTTGATAACAAAAACGACCTACATATAAAAATCGCGAAAGCAACTACTAGTTCGTATTGAAAGAATTTCAGAAAACGTGCATTGAAATTATCCTTATAAAAGTAAATTACATTAAAAAAAGTACATGAGAAGGGAAATGACTCTTACTCTAAAAAGTGTAAAAACAAATTTTAAAAATGTCTAGCCTATATTTGCCATAGCATTGTCAATTAAAAAATCTGTATTGAATGTCTCAAATGATCTTCTTCTTCTTCTTCTTCTTCTTTTCTCTTCTTCTTATAATAATAGTAATAATAATAATAATTAATATAATAATAATAATAATAATTTAACACTTATTTTGTGCAAATCAACATGTGAATATGATCAAATGCACATCATAATACTTTTCGGGGGACTTTGGCCAGACTGCATAAGCAGTTTACAAACAATCGAAGGAAACTTATTTGAAGATGCCCCCTCCCCTTAATTCCCAGTATACAGGCCAGACCACATCACAGTAATCTCGTGACTGGGTTCTCTGACATCCCCTGCCTAACCAAATTAACTAATTAATAGATGCAGGAGACGGGACCTACAGTTTATTCGTCCTTATCCGAGAAGATTAGAATGTCTATCTATTTCTTATTAAAGAAAGGTAGTGCATTCTCCTCAGTTATTTTAAGACCTTGAGTGTTAGCCCGGCCGGGGCTTGAACCAGTTATTTTAAGACCTTGAGTGTTAGCCCGGCCGGGGCTTCGACCTTGACCTCCCGCAAAACAGTCTAGCGCTCTAACCAAGGAAACTCATGGCGAACAATTTGATACACCATGGCCTTGGCGCATGCGAATCGTGTTACTCTGTGGACTTACATTATGTTTCAGCGCCTATGAAATTACAAAGAAAACAGTGAAAACCAGTCTTACCGTAGTCAAACCCATGCTTTCATAAGTTATGGCTAAAACTTTTTTCAGGTCCCCAAATCTAATTTAAAAGAAGAACATGTCCCCTTGCCTTACAGCAATATTGTTTACAAAGAGTTGACGAATCGACGTTTCCTAACGCTTTTGAGATTTTCTCCTGTTCCTGAGAAAATCTGCCATAATTCTCCTCTTATTTCCGTTAAATTTGTCCGAACGTGGCACCGTAATACTTTTCGGATAAGTTCTCTGTTGCTCATGTAAGATGTCCCCAAAGACATTTCGACTATCGTAATCTCTTATTTGAAGGCTAAAGTCGACTTCTGTACTGAAAACGGCCCATAAAAACGGGAATTGACGGTTCCTAACGCCCCTAAAAAAGGGTTAAAATCGGAAAGA